ACCTTGATGAAATAATCCAAACACCAAATCCCCGTAACACACAATTTATTTATATGACAAACCTGCATATGTACCACTGAAATTAAAATAATAGTTAAAAAGGTAAAAAAAAATTATAAAAAGCTTAAAATAAAGGCATAAAGGAAAAGCAAAAAGATAGCTAGAAAATCCTCACACATGTGGAAATTTAAAAATATACTATAAATAACCTATATAAAAGAATATATCACAATGGAGCTTAGAAAATATTTTGGACAATGATCATGAATATAATCATATCATAACATGTGGAATACAACCAGAGAAGCAATTAGAGGAGATGGTGTGGAGGTGGGAGGGAGTCTATTTTAGACAGGTTCTTCTGAGAAATTCTCTTTGATGAAGTGACATCTACCTATAATTAACTGAAGGAATGTGCCAAAGGATTTTAGGGAAGAGTTTCCAGGCATTGCTGACAAATATGCAAAGGTCCTATAGCAGAATGTGCTTAGAGTGACCGAGATAAAGCAATGATAGGTAATTATTAATTCTAGAACCAGTTCTAGTACAAAAGTATAAACTAACAACAACAACAACAACAAAAAGATCTATTGCATTTCAGCTGATATTGCTGCAAAGCATTCCACCCTCCTGGCCCCAGCTTTCCTTCCTGCAACCCTCAGGCTGTTTTCATCAATGTGGCAGTAGCCTGGCTTGTTAACTTGCCAGGGTAAAATCTTAGCTCTTTTGCAGTTCTTGCCAGGAAGCTGATTGTTAAAGTTTTATGAATTTTGCGTCAGTTGTGGTTATGGTGGTAGCTCAAAATGAACCACGGTGAATAGATTTATAACATGGAAATCAGCAAATGCTACAAATCAAGATTTGTTTTTGTTTTTGTCTTGAGAGCTAGTTGTTAAACATTTATGAATATACCACAACCAGAGAAAGATTCATGAAAAACAGGATAAGAGCTGTATCATTTGGCAGAACATAAGGTCACTGGAAGAGCAGATGAGAGAATTCCAGATGTAATGGCTGAGCTGGGTTAGGTAATCAATGCTGGAATGGGTTACACTCAGTCAGAAAACAATGAATAGATAATTTGGTGGTTCTAGAAACAGGGTTATGAGAATGAATAGAGTCATAAAAAATGGACTGGTAGAAAAGGAAAGGTACTATTTTGTCTAAAAAGTTTACACATCAATTGTTTCAAAACATATCTTCTTAAACTCTCTATTGCCAACTTCTCTCTTTTGAAATATATCACCTCCTATTTCAGAGAAGAAACAGAAAGAATCAGACTTAGATTTGAATTCATATCCCAAAACCCACAAAGCAAAGACATCTGTGCCCTTCCTTACATGCCTCTGCTTTGGCAATGCAGGGGTCTTCCTCTACTGGTTTCTTATTCTTCTGTTTGTGCTAGGGAGCTCATACATCCTCTTGAATTACTACTTCAATTACCATTTTAAAATTCTTATCTTACTAGAAATCTCTTTTGTGCCCTTTTCTTAGAATAATTGTTTCTCTTGGTATGCATGAAGCCACACATTCTTTTCTTTTCTACCCCATTACAATAAATAGAAATGCTTTTTTTCCCATTGTTATGATCTAAGGAAACCATTTCATTAGTATTTACAGTCTGATTGTCTTTACCCATTTTCCTTTCCTCTCTGGCCAATTATTCCATTTTCTTCTAATGACACAGTAAAATTACATTACACTTTTACGATCTTTTCCTTTACTCTCTCTTTTTTTTCATTAGAATATACAATCTATGTTATTCACTTCTCTAATCTTAGCATCTTCAGCAGCACCATCCAATAGAACTTTCATGATGAAAATGTTCTAAATCTGTACTGTTCAAAATGGTAAGCACTAGCCACAGTATCACCTGATATCACTTCTGATCCCTTGAATATCAATACGCTTGGCTAAAGCAACCAAAGAACTGACTTTTAATTGTATTTTATTTTAATTACTTTAAATAGCTACATGTGGCTATTGGCTACCATATTGGACAGCACAAATGTATACAATGCCTGGCACATCCATAAAGTCTGGTTGAAAAATGAAAGGAAGCATAATGAAAAAACACATGAATGAATGAAATACCTGCAATCTGTTTATAATCCTACAGATTTGCCTGGAACTTCACTTTTCCCTCTTTCTAGTAAAGCTTTCTAGCATTGGTTCTGTTATCCAGTTTTTACTCAAATATTTACTTGTTTCCACATTTCAAGAGTATATGACATATATACATCCTTTTGTTTCACCATTCTTATGCTAGCATCGCAGCAAGTCACTATATTCCTCTAATTTTGTTTGTTTCTTCATAGCTAAAGCAAAAATTCTGATCTGTCTATCATTCTGGTCAGAAAACCTCACTTTACCCATTTTCTCTCACAATTTTATTGGTAATTGTCTTGTTTTATTTATAGTGAAAAATTGTAAAACAGTATAAAAATAATGTTGTACCCTATAACCCAGCCTAAAAAAATAGTTAATAATACAATTTAAATTCCTATTTAGTCCTCAGTGGTCACATTTCCTTTCTTGCCTCATCAGAAATTACAGCCATCAAAATCATAATCCAATGATTTCAGTATATTTTTACCACATATATGTCCTCCAAACAAAATACTGTGTAGTGTTGAGTTAGCTTTAATACTATCTGAATAATAGTATACTGTAAAAAAAATTCTACATAATATTTTCCTATTCAGTGCACGTTTTTAGGTGTATTCATGTTGCCACACACAGCTATATAGTATTATTTCACTGCTGTATAGAATTTTATTGTATTAGTCTATCTATTATCCTATTGATGAACATTTCCATTGTTTTTAAATATTTTCCCTATTGTAACCAATTTTGTTTTAAGGATCCTTGTACACTTTTCTTTGTGTATAGCACTAGAATATCTCTAGGGTAAGCATGTGGGGAAACACATGTTGGGGTGTGTATGTGTGTTTTACCTTCAAGAGTTCTAGATAAAGTACTTTGTTAATTCTTTGCATTATGAAGATCTCCCACTTTATTCCATGTTTTTTCTTTGACAAAATGTTGATTTTTTAATGGAAAATAAAGCATTAGTTTGGATCATCCATTGTGCAAATCCACAAATAATAACTAAAGTTAGCAACTAGACAACTTAGAAAACTCATTCCAAACACCCATAAAAATTAAAGCCTTAAAGTCAATGATGTAAGTGCCACCTACTCTTATAAAACCTAATACTTATCTGTATTTATAGATTTTATCTTTGTCATATTGTTTCTTTTTATCTACGTTATTTTAATAGCTTTGATATAGCTATGCAATTAATAATACACTACTTTCCTGTTCTTTCATATTCTCCTGAAAATATTGAGAAAGTTTAGTTCATCTTAAATAATTTCAGTAGCCATTATTCCCTCCTTTATTTTTTCCAGGAAACAGTGCAAATATATTGGTATTCTTCCAGTAATCAAAAAAATCATATTCACTTGTTTACTTTTACTGGATTTATCTATAGCTTAGCTGATTCACTTTATCCAAATATGCCCAGTATTAGTTAGAAGTCTACATGTCTTTTGTAAAGAAGATAAAAATGGTTTAACAATGGAAAATACTTCCTAATCTATAGAATATTTGAAAAATAATTACTTGCTTTTTTCCAGCTTTATACCTATAATTGAAATTTTGAACTCACTTAATGTCAATGTGTAAGGTACGTGGATGTGCTTTAGTCAAGGAATAGGCCAAGGCAGACATCCAGGCCTGCGTGACTCAGTGGGATTGGTGTACAGGCGCACACCTCCACTTGTTATATAAACTATTTGTGTAAGTTCATACTTGGTTCTAAGTCACTATTGTCTGTAGAAGGTGTAACTACTCTTCTGACGCTGTGCATAGGACTTGAGGTGGCGCTGGCACCCACAGAAAGAGAGAGAGACAGAACCACAACTGTCTGTCTTGCATACAGACACAAGGGAGCCATGGCACGGCCCAGAGAGAGAAAGAGTTAAGCTGCTGACCCTAAAGGCAAGGCAGAGGCTGACGTGCAGGCATGGGGGTGGCAGGAGCCACAGAGCTGGAGCAGACAACTCAGATAAAGACAGTGTGAGAAAGCTGCTAATGAGAGAGCTAGTGCAAGAGAGCTACTGATGAGAGAGCTGCTGAATTAAACTGCATTTCACCTGCCTACAGCCCCTCAAGTGTTCTTTCAGCTATCTGCCCATCCACTCACTCCCCTTAACCCTCAGCATGGGCTCAAACCTGACCCCAGGCATGACATTTGGCGTAGTCGTGGACCTAACACATAGTTTAAATAAAAATTGTGTCAACAGGGCTTAAAACCTAGACGACTGGTTGATAGGGGCAGCAAACCACCATGTATACGTATGTAACAAATCTGTACGTTCTGTACATGTATTCTGGAACTGAAAGTAAAAAATTAAAGTGTCCAATATTTTATCCATACAGCTTCTAAACCCCTATGCAAGGTTAAACATAACACATAAGACCACAGAATACACAAACAACCGAGCAAGGCAGCAAACAGGAAACAGAGACAGAATCTCAACCAAGGTCTGAAAACAGGAATTTCAATATTAACAGAAACAGAAGAATGACCAACCACTACTGAGACTAACAGTTTAAAATGTCTAAATCAGGTTGCCAATTATATTGGCTGTCCTCAATTAATTTAAAAACAAAAATAATTTTTTAAAAAAACCTGTAACCTGAAACACAGTATTTATGGAAAAGATACTGGGAAATTTCAGCAGTCCATCCATAAGAAAAGCAGAATTACAGGGACTTACATGCTGTCAGCATTCTCCCTGCCGTGGCCTCAGATTTCCCTTTTTATAGTCATTTCAATTTTCTTTCTGCGGTTTGACTTCTCCGTGTTTCAGAAATCTTAGCTGCTGAAACCTCCTGAGTTTTATAATATAAAGCTTCAGTCACCAGAGAGAAAGCTGACTCTTTCTTACACTTGATTCCAATTATCTCCAGAGGATTTTAATTAGCCTTACTTAGATCAGGTGTTGTATCTGATCCACTCAATCATTGCTGGGAAGTCAGGATACTTGTACTGTACTGCTTGAGTCTGTTCTCTGGCCCTGGCTACATTCATGGCCAGGGTGAGGATGCTGTCTCCTAACATGGCTGCCCTCATGATGATACTGGGGCTGATGGGGCCGAGGAGAGGAGAGAGAAGCAAGTCTAAGTCGACATTTCTAGAGGCTCTCTTCCAAAAATAGCAGTAATACTAACAGGTGGTGGTTCTACACCCAGCTGAAAAATATTTTGGATATCATGTAGAGATGTTCCTGATACATTTTTTCTTTTTTCTTTTTTTCCGCATCTCTGTAAACACCTGGAGATGGGATGTTCCTGATAAGCAGAGTTTTTCAACAGAAAACAAAGCTATATTATGAGGTAACAAAGATTCTATCACTAGAAGTCATAAAGGAGAAGCTACAAAATCATTTATTAAGTATGATGTTGAAAAGATTAAAGAAATGTCTGAGACTTAACTGAATTATTCTCTAAGATCCACTTTAATATTCTATAATGCTTGATTTATTTCATTTCAGCCACCCATTGTTTCCTTTAGTAACATCAGCTTGTAGTTTTATGTTTATGTCACTGTGACTTATTTAGGAAACAAAGATGAATAGATGAATAAGGCAATTTGCACCCTCAAGGAATGCATCAATTTGACCAGACACACCTTTTTTGGTAATAGCAAGGAATTTTTTCACAGGGCATAGAAGTTGCATGTCCATGAGACAATAAAAATATTAAATCATACATTCCTGCCATCTCTTGCCTCTCTATTTTACATTCTATATTCTAACCACACCAGTCATCAAGACAAGCCATCTGCTTCCATGAAGCCATTCCTTTGCAAAGCCTCTTTACTCTTCCTTTCCTTAGGTCTCTAACTAATATAAAGTTTCCTTTTACTTCTCACTATAAAACATATTTGCTTTCTTCTTTCCTTGTACTTTCTTATCAATTCAGTATCATATTGCACTTATAGTCTCGAATAATTGTGTATGTGTGTGTTACTTTTCCCACTGAATTAAGAGATTTGAAATGGCAAGGGCTTTGTCTGTTTTATTTTTTATAATGAAAGCCCAACAGAATATAAAATTATTTAATTGTATTATAATAAAATGAGGATTGTCAACAATGGGAAAATTTCTGAGAAATGTGATCTTGAAAATCCAAGTTTGAGTTATTGTTAATAAAATAAAGTAAAATAATTAACATTTACATGTATTTTAAAGAGTTTCCAGACTTAATATTTGTTCCTAATGTGAAGGAGCATAATCCTGCCTTAAACATAGAAAAGATTCACTTTTTATAATAAACTATAGGTCAATATTCTAATTACAGATTCTAGGGAAAATATTCGAGTTTTCAAGATGCAATCACTATGATTCATTCTTAACAATTATTTTGGAAGTTATTTCAAGGAACAATGAAGACAAACGATTTGCAAATAAAGCAAAAACAATAAAAGCAGACAGAAATACCAAAAATGTACTTGTCAAATATTGACTGTTATTTTAAGTTCCAAAATGTAAAAATCTTATTTTAGAAAATATATAGTAACTTAATAGGAGACAAGAATAAATCATGCCTCAAGAATTGCTTTTACAAAAATATCTTCTTTACCATCTTTTTTATTATATAATAATAGACTAGATTTTTTGTAACATTGTGAAGATATTACAAAATAGTAAAAAATCATGAAAAGATAATTGTTCCACATCTTTCCTATACACAGTTACAATACTTTATTTTATAAATCTTTAAACTCTATAACTATGATTCCTAATCTCTCCTCTCTTTCTTTGATAAAGTTCTATTGACTTTATATTGTCTGTATTACATCCAATAGATTAGAGTTAAGATGCTTTAAATATTACATCTCATGGTGTTGCTAAAGCCAAGCACATCTTTGGAAAGATTAAATATCATTTTTCTCACATAAATCAAATTAGAACTCACAGAGTCAGTTTCTACCCATATATCCACAAAGATATCTCATACAGTATTCAGAATTTGTCTGAGTAAAGAGATGAGCTTTTCACCTTCTGGTAATTACTTGAGACTTAAAGAGTGACAGGCAATTCAAATCAGCTTTCACGATGTTAAATTATTTCCTAGGTCAATATCATGTATCATGTGTTATTATTTCACCTTTGAGTTACATCAAACAATTTTGCAGTGAATATCCTACAAGCATTTAGATTTTCTGACAAAATATAAAGTACTTACATCATTTATATTGAATAAGTACTTTTTGTCTCAAATGTAAAATAACAAATTTTGATAAATTTGAAGCTTCAAAATTCTTATGAAAAAACTATTTTGTGAATTAGAAAGTACTATGCCTGTTTTATTATGACATAGCTTTTGTTCCTGAAGAAATTTATTTCAATTCTATTTTTTAAGAATGTCAATAACTATTTATTGAACACTTCTGTACATGTTTGATAGACATATGGAGGTATATAAGAAAATAATGAGACAACTCCTCCAGAAGTTTTTATTTATTTGGAGAAATTACTAACACATAAAATATCTAGAAAAGTCTTAACCCAAGAAAAACAAAAATGATAGCTTACACCTAAAACATACCAGGTATTCATTTACTCCTCAGCAGCCTACTGGCCCTATTTTGTAGAGAAGACCCTAACGCACTGAGAGGTTAAACCATTTACCAGGTGCTATCCCTGGGCAGTGCAGAGTCGGATTTAGCCAAGGAGTGTGTCACCACGTAATCCCAGCATCCTGGGAGGCTGAGGCAGGCAGATTACAAAGTCAAGAGATCGAGACCATGCTGGCCAACATGGTGAAACCCCATCTCTACTAAAAATACCAAAATTAGCCAGGCGTGGTGGCACATGCCTGTAATCCCAGCTACTCAGGAGGCTGAAGCAGGAGAATCGCTTGAACCTGGGAGGTGGAGGTTGCAGTGAACTGAGATCGCCAACTTGCACTCCAGCCTGGCAACAGAGCGAGACTCCGCCTCAAAAAAAAAAAAAAAAAGAAAAGAAAAAGAAAAAACAAAAAGAATTAGGGGGTGGATGGAGTGAGGGTAATATAACGTGTTCCTAGGGTGAAAAAAAAAGTAAAAAAAAGAGTTCTCAGGGCCCTTTAATGTGCAATTGGGTGCAGTAATGCTTTTAAATGAGAAGAACGTGTGCAGTATTTTTCAATCAAGCTTTAAATTGTAAGCCTGGTTGAACGGAATCAGGAGAAAGAGTTACGAAGTCTGTGCTTGAGACCATAGAATTAGGCTCAAAGTCAAATAGATTAAAAGTTTAAAAGGATAAAACAGAATGAACAAGAGAAAAATGTTTTTATAAAAGATCAGATTCTTGAGCATAACGCCAAAACTACAAAATGTTTTAGAGCTATGACTTCATAAAAATATAAAGCTTCTCAGCATTATCACTCAAGTCAGGAAAAGATACTGCAAACATGGATAACAAAGACTTTCTGGATTAATATATAAGTAGTTAGAAAAATCAGTAATTAAAAATGAAATACCCAAACAGAAAAGATGAACTAACGACTTGGAACTGGCAACGCCTACAAAAACTGAGAGAGAAAGAGAGGGAGAGAGTGAAAGAAGGGGAGAAGGAGCAGGGTGGGCAGCGGGGGGGCGGGGCAAGAGGGGTGGGGGAGGGAGAGAGAGAGAAAGTTAACATAGGGACAAAAGTCAGTCTTCAGGAAACAATAACAAGATGAAACCATTTTTGCAGAAGTTATAATAAAGTAATAGAAGAATCAAATTATCACATAGCAAAATGTAGTAGAGACATGCCAACTGCAAAAGAGTGGCATAAAAAGTAATAACATTTAGGTTGTGAATGTGTATATTAAATCCTATAAGGGAGAAAAAATAATATATGATATAAATATTACACATTCCTCTTTGAGAAAAGAAAGCATGAAATAAAAAGAACCTCTTTTAATTCAGGGAAACTTCCTTAATGAAATAACAAATATAAAGAAAAATCACTTTTATCTAGCAATTTTTGTAAATTCAGGTAACCATGTTGTAAATCACTTATCTTCAATGGTCATTGCAACTAGAGAATATAGAGTATTTGCAACCCAAGGAAACAAAGAAAGAAGCTATTTCTTAACAAAAGTAAGCTTAAACTTGAGATAGCATTACTGTTAAAGGTAGATTATATATGCTATGTTCCAGCCATTTTGTGTAAAATGATCAATACTTTCATGTTGTAAAATTATTTTCTCTTCCATCTAAAATGGAAAATTTGTTTTCAACACAAGTTTAGTATGTATTTAGATAATTATGTGACATGATAAACGCAAAGCTAGGCGATATTGGTTCAGAAACTGTATTTATATTAATCACTTCAGATACATCTGTACCTACAAAGAATTATCTACAAAAAAATAGCCTCTTGTTGTTCTAAAATCAAAAAATTGCCATAACAGCTTTACTTCAGTAACATAAGAGTAAGCCTCTGATAGCTTCTAAACCTAAATATAATAAAACTATTTGGAGCTTTATTATTAAACATTATTTTTGGTCAATGTGTAACTGTTCATTAGCAGTAAATACAATACGAAATGCACAATGAAACACTTTTGATGAAATAGTCTTTTATATCTTAACTACTCTGGATTATATTTTGGGATTGTGGTAGAAGTAATTATATGGGTTCATTGCACAATTTCCTCTTTCTCAGAAATAGGAAAACTACATTTGCTGACCTCTCTTGAAGACAGTTTCAGGACCATAACTGGATTCTGGCCAATGAAATGTAGAGTAGATCTTGACCTTAAAATCATTCCATTTGCCTCTCCAGCCCTCTTCCTTTCCATGGAACCTTAGAAGCCATGTGTTACAGATGGTAGAGCTGCAGTGAAAGAAGCCGGATCCCTAGACCACTCCTTGAAGAGGACCCTATCAAGGAAAGCTGCCTCATCCACATCACTAACATCATCAAAGAAGAGATCTTTGTTTTGTTAAACCACGGTGATGCTGGACTTTTGCAAAACATAGTCTAACCTGTTATAATAGAGGGCTGCACTATTAAGTTTGTTAACTAATCAAAATGTTAATCAGTAGCTTAAAATCACAATTGCTTAAAAATGAACATGAGCAATAATAATGGAAATGGCTCAAGTGATGATTCACTGTCCTCAAAACCAAAAGAATGACGTCTACATAAGTGAAATACAAATGATTTTACTTTTAACAATGGAGTAATAGAGCATGGAAAACTAACCATTTATATTATTTGGGACATTTTCTGTGTTGAAAGTCAAGAAAACTTCCTGCATACTAAGAGTCTTCACATCTTCCTTAGAACAT